GTGGGGCAGCTTTGAGATGCCCCAGAGGGGGCATGATGAGCCCCAGAAGGGGGCACTGCTAGGAAGCCCTAGCGTAGATGTGGCAAGCCCCAGAAAGGGGGAGCGCACTTTAGAGGAGCCCAGCGTGGGCCCAACAAGTCCCTGAGAAAGGGGGGGGACTATTGAGAAGCCCAAGGTGGGCACGGCGAGCCCCGAAGAGGGGGAGCGCCATATTGAGAAGCCCAAGACGGGCGTAGCGAGCCCAGCCGTAGGCTAGTGCGGCAACACCCCTCAGACAGAGGCAAAGTGCTGCGGTTGCCCCCGAGAGGACGGGGAGTAGTGGCACGGTGAGCCTGGATCAGAGAGGGTACCCATGCGGTTGGCCTGAAGGACTGGAGACCCGCTAGAGGGTCCCTGAGCGGGACCACACTTTTAAAGAAGGCCCAGAGCGGGCTTGACGAGAGTCCCAGTGAGGAGCTAGGTATTGGAGAGAGCCCAGAGTGGGCTAGATCACAGGAGAAGGCCCGAGGAAGCGGGCGTGTATGGTGACCGGACAACGTCTATCCCATCAGCGAGGCTTGAGGCGTGGTATTAGGGGTTGGTAGGAGCCACGCGTAGCCCATAAGGCTAGGGTGCCTGGGGAGCACCCGTCGTACCGGGAGACCACAGGAGTCTGGAAGAACCGCGGGGACAGAGGTCCTGAGTAGCCGTGCCCAGGGAGTCATAGGCAGCCTCCCAATCATATTTTCCAGCAAGACGTGGCGGGCGAGAATAAGAGGGTGCCTTGGGCTGGCCTTGACACGGAGCGAGGGACCTTGAGGAGATCACGGCCCTCCTAAAGGACCCCGCTGTGACAGAGATTATGAATGTGCTGAAATACCACGGCTTGTTTTTTCTAAGTATGTGGCAAATCAGAGGGAAGTCTTGTTCTCATTGCATCAAGTGTTTCACAAATGTGAATTATGAAAAAGTGACTTGAGAAACCATTTTATGAAAGTGACTGACACCAACTGCAGATGTTTCCTCAGCCTGATGAAGGGTTTTTAAATCTGAAACTCGCAAAGAAAAATTTTTCCAACTATTTGGGTTGGTCTAATAAACAATATTATATTTACCCAAAGAACCTTGTCTCTCAACTGAGAAGGAACACTTTGGACAAAGCTGAACTTTAACACTTATGAAAAAACAGGCAGAAAATGTCACAGGCAGTAGTAATTAATATTTTACTTTTAAAATTACTAGACCAGGGGAACTTAGTGCTATTCCTATTATCGCTAAATTAAAGCTTGAATTTAGAGATGCATTGATACATCAGTCTGATACCAGAGAGGCACCAATATAAAGAAAATCGACTGCATCGGAAACTGGCTTTTTTTTGCCTGATGTGGCTGATAACTTGGCCGATAAATGCCTTGTGCATGCTTGCAGCTGCAGCACAGCACGTAGGCAGTGAGGAGCACAGCTCAGCAGCTTGGAGAGCTGCATCCAGCTGGTAGAGGTGAAAGGGGTGTGGGGGGATCAAATCAAGGCCTCCATGGTAGGGGAGGGAGTGAGGCTGGGGCAGGTGCTGCCCAGGGTGCTGGATAGAGCCTCAGTTCATCCAGGGGCTGCAGGGGGGCTCCCACCACTGTGCGTACCCTGGAAGGGCATGGGGGGCATGTGCCCCCTGATCTCCACGAGGACAGGGCTGGGTGCGTGGCTGGTGCAGCACTGGGCTCTTCCCAATGCGGGGGCTGGGCCGGGCAAGGCAGGCACTGGGAGGGGAGCTACAGCAACTTTTGGGGTGGCTGCAGCCTCCGCCCCCCATAGACACCTCCTAGGGGCACTGTCACCCACCCAGAATACAGCCTGGCCCAGCCCCCTGCCAGGAAGAGTCCGGCACTGCCCTAGCCCCAAGCCCACAGCAGCAGCCAACCCCACAGCGATCTGGGGGCACCTGCTTCCCCCCCCTGCCCCCCCAAGGTGTGCACAGAAGCAGGAGTTCCCACCCCTCAGATGAGCTGCAGCTCCATCCCATGTCCTGCCCCAGCTGTGCAGAGCCTGCACCATACCCTGCCCAACTCTCTCCCTCACTGTAGGGGCCTTGATCTGTGCCCCCCATGCCTCTTCCCTTCCCCAGCCCTCCTCCCCTTTCCACCACAACAGACATACTAGCTGGACACTGCTGTACTGCTGTTCAAGCTGTCAGGCAGCATATCTGTATTGGCTGATATGCCTCCTTTAAAAAAAAATAATTATAATCAACTATTGTTATCAGCAATAACAGAAATCTCTATCAGCACACCCCTACTTCAATTATTAATATCTGTAGAAGAAGTTGGGCAACAAGGAAACAAAACATCAGTTAATTACTGCTGTCAGTCAAGATAACAGGAATGTTTTTAATTTTTAGGTTGATGGACAGATCAGACTAACAAAAAAAAAGCAGGTTGTTTCTTTCCAGGGCACAATTTTATTTCTGAAATTCACAAGCACAAGAGTTTGCCAACTACATAGGAACTAACAGTAAGAACATAAAATTCTATTTCTAATAATATGGTTCTGCTTGTAGAAAGTTTATAATTAGCATTTTGATAAAGTCCCCTGCAATATTTGATGATTAGGAAAAAAGTTGGAATAAGTCAAAGATTTGGGAGAGAACCCCAACACATACCACAAATCAAAGGTTTGGGGACATTAATTGACTGCTCTGCAGTTAACTGATCAGCAGTTTTTTCCTATGCAGGAAAACAGCAATCATTGTATGTAAGATTTCCCCTCCCTCCCCCGCTCCCCCCCCCAAAAAATCCTACAGCATTAACAAGCCAAGTGTTAGGATAGATGACCAACAGTGATTGCTAGCAAAATCCAGATTCTCCTTACTTCCGTCAAGAATTAGCAGAATGTTGACAGTGCCCTCAGACTCCTCAGCAGGGAGGGTTGGACTAGATGGCCTCTTGAGGTCCCTTCCAGCCTTGCTTTTGTATGATTCTGTGAGTTACACATACGTATGTGCATTAGTTAAAATGACCAAGAGAATACTATTCTTTGGTTTAAAATTAAGGATGATCTCTAAGGCTTTTGTTTCATGTCTTTGCCTTAATCAGATTAGACCTTTAAAAACCTGTTCATTGAAAAAATAAATCCTGAATAAATTGAGTACTTCAGTAAGATAATGGGGGCTCCTTAAAGAGTGGTTATGATTACACTAATTTTTGCCCATGCCAGGGGTTTTCAACCGGTCGCTAACTGGCCGCTGGGGGACTCCTTCCTTCTCAACTGGCCGCACACTGACCCAAAAAGGTTGAAAGTCCCTGTTCCATGTGTTTGGAATATACTATATACTCTCTCAGTATAAACAGCAAAGAAAAACATAGGGACCAAATGTGGAATTTTCTGATCATTAGCCAATAGTACTACTAAAAAAAAAAAGTTAGAGACTTTGTGATTATGCAGCTTGGCAAATTTAAATACATGTAAACCACCACTTAAATATAAAAAGAGTGATGTTCCTCTATGTCCATAGTTATAGAGAAAGAAAAACTCATTACTTCTGTGTAAACTCTCTTCTAGTAAACATAATAAATTTACATATCAGCAGTAAACTTTTCTACACAGTGGTAATCTTAACTATTGTTAGACAACCTTGCACTTGGAAGGCTTTCATGGTTTCACAGTTGTTAGGGGCTGGAAGGGACCTTACAGATCATGGGGTTCAGCCCCCCTGCACCTGGAGAAGAAAGACTGCTGAGATCAGATGACCCCAGCAAGATGGGTGTCAAGACGTTCCTCCTTAGTTTGAAGATTTTTAGATTTACACAAGCTGGAGATCTTAAATGAGTAAAAAAAGAATTTTATTTATTTTTAAACACTCAACTCAAATACACGTGATCTTTGACTTTATAGAAGAAAAAAAAAAAGAATACTCCAAGACGTACTTTAAGCCACGTTTCAGTCCACTGTGGATTTTTATAGTTAAGTTGTCAATTCCAGCAAAACCGATTAAGTGCTGACAGCACTTTAACTAGTGGCATATACAGGGTTGTAAAAGGGGGAAAAAGAAGAGGAAAAAGTGTTTCATAGAAGCGGCAGCACATTTCATTTGCACATTGTAGGAAGTTAAATAGAAATTTCATCATTTTAAAATTTAAATCACAAGCTTGAATGCATTACAATTTTAGTTACATAATGCTACAACTTGCTTAGGCACCTGTGTTCCTTATGCAGGGCCAGCATTTTTATATCCTAGATGAAGTGTTTGGTTTGAAGTGCTTGTGAAGTATAATTTCCTAAACACCTCCTTTTTATCCACTGGATCCCTGTTCCCAGTCTACAGGAAGATGCACAGATCCAGAATGTAGCCCAAGATTTATCATCTTGGATGACTGTAACTACCTTTGACTAACAACACTGACTATATAAAAAGAAGAAAATGTCCCTGGAGTGGTATTTAAAAGCCACCCCAAGCTATTGCAGAAACAACATTCTATAACTGTAACTAGAAGTAGAATCCATACATGTCAAGAGGTATGCGATCTTAAAATAAGGTCCGACCAAAACAGCAGTAACAAGACAAAACATGCACTGTGACTACCTTAATTTGAAGCATAGTTTAAAATGTTACATGAAACACTGATACCCTCAACAACAAACAGACAGGATTGTACCAATTCAAAGGGACTTTGTAGAGGGCATAAACCTCTGACAGAATAACATTTGGAAACAACTGAAAAATACCACTCGTTGGGGAGGTGCGATGAAATGGGTTGTAGAATCATATGCAGATCTTGTCTTTTTCTTCTGGACATTATCTAGCCATAATTTCTGAAAGTTAAAATTACAAGCAACAACACTTTATAAAAAAAATTGTCACAATGAGAAACAATACTGGTTGACTGCTTTTAAGACTTCCTTTTAACAAGAAACTAGTCATGATACCTTTGAACATGATCCTACTTTTGACTCTCTCTCTCTCCTTGGCTTTCAAATCCTGTATATCAATTAGATCAGAACTCATGTTTTCTCTGCAGGTGACCTCAAACTGACATGCAGTACTGGTTAGGAAGTAATGGCTGCTTATCCAGGAGGGTTTTTCAGCTGGTAAATCCCCAGGTGCATCTCCACCACTCTTTTAAGCCTGCAACAAGCCTAGCAATTTTAAAGTTTTGCTCTCTAATCATAATAAAACTAAGCAAGTTGTGGAGAAAGATTAAAAGGAACCATCATCTGGTTTTCTCACCTTTGTTTCAGGAAGACAGTGTTCTAAAAGTGAACTTTCTCCTGAAAACTGCAATATGGCTAAGAATTGCATGTGAATAGAGGAGCTAAAATCCACGGACAACATGGCTGGAGTTTCAACTCTGAAAATCAGATTAAATTTTCTCTTAAAATGTCATCCAAAATTGCATGATAAAGTGGGCAGACAAACAAGTTAAACAGATAAAGCATTTCCTGCCATTGTTCTCTTGAACCAAAGCTGAAAGATAAAAGGGAAACTAACCTGTAATACAAGTGGCAGTTTCTCTTCATCCCCAGTTAAGGGTAATCTTTGATAAAACATGCATATTGACAATATTTATTAATAAAGTACATGTCAATGTCTATTCTTCAGCTTTTATCCCTATTACATACACAGCAAAGGCAGCGGCATCAGACATGCACGTTACATCCATTCCATTCGCACACCACACACACAGCCTCAACGAAAGGTGTCTGTGATAAGGAACATATAAAGGTTGTGATCTTTATCTATAAGCCCCTGAGCATTTTTTTCCCTTATAGTTAGGTGAAAAAGGCAATGAACAAGGTTCTCTTGCTCTCTAAGTGCTTTGTGCAACAACGTTCATAGAGGTCATTATGGAAGTCTTTTTGGAGGAGAAATATTAAAAGTTTCACTCCCATATTTTCAGTATTTTATAGCCATTTGCCACAGCAATAATTTCCAGTTATATTTCAGTCATACTTGGCTAATATAGCTTTTGCTCCCATGATTAAAGTTATGATCAGTTCTGCAGATCACAAATGAAATGCTGTTATGCAGTCTCCCCCTTGTATCAGAAAAGGTCATCTTGGTGATACTGTAGGATTAGAGAAGGTGCCAGAATTCCTTGGAGACTGAAAAGGCACTGATGGAGAACTGGGCGACAGTTTTCTAGGGCTGCAAAGGTCCCCATTATGTAGTTTCCACAGCAGTTCTTCGTTTTCCATTGACAGACGTTTGTTTACTTTTGATTCTTTCTCTAGAGATTCCTGCAGGACTGCTTGCTCTGTGGAAAGTTGCCTGCAAAAATAATACAATGTAAGTGCACTTGCTTCAGTTTAATGTTTATAGCATCCTACCCATTTTGGAAATAGCATCATTCCCTATTCTACTCGAAGATAAGTTCTTTGTAAGGAGGAATGAATGGATTTGTTCACATGGAGAAAACTAGCAGTTTGTGGTAACATGCCCACACAATAGCTCCTTGATCTGAGCCTTCAAGAGGCTGAGAAGCGAAAAACATGGCCCTGATCCAAAACAAAAACCTAATCTTATCTGTTTCATTGCAGGAGTACTGAAGTGAGCCAGCCCTTTTACTAAGTGTTGGGTAGTTTTTAGGGTATCTTAAATTTTAGTTGCTATTTGATGGCAGCTGAAAGGAATATCTCCATAAGGCAGGGCAGATCTTAACGTAGCCCCCTGTAAGAAATCAACTTCTCCTCCTCGCAGTGAAATACCTGCATAATTTATCTGCACTTCCTAGCCTCCTTCACTTTGGTGAGGCAGTCCAGATGAGCAGAGTCAGAAATACAGTCAGACCCTGTTTATTTGTGTTGAGTAGCTGTGGGACAATAGTCAAGAGGCAGTGTAACACTAACTTTTGATTAAATAGTGCCAATAGTCATCTGTTTTAAGCAGTTACTTTGTTTTGTTTTTTTAAAGCAGATCTTAATTAAAATAGCAGTACAACACTTAAGGAGAAGGGATCTAGCAGGACACTAAGGGCACAGACAGAAGTGACAATTTTCACCTGATCTGGCCACAGAAAGCAGTCTATAGCTATGATCAAGCACAAGTGCATGGCTTCAGACTACTTCAGAAATGGACAATCAAGTGAAAATCTGAATCCTCACTGCATGAGGGGTAAAATGAAGATGTTTCAAAACACAGTGCCTTCTGTAACTTCTGCCTGCACTGCCTCCCCAGCCTGTTGATCTTTTCAGAATGGGAGGGGAGAATGGGAGCTGAGGAAGTTTGGTCTAGGGTTTTCTCAGCCCCCACTGGAGGTTGGGGTAGGTGTACTGGAGCCCCCTTAAAGTGGGGGGCAGGGCTCCAATTCACACAGCCCCACCCTCCAGCACCAGGTGGGAACCCTAGAATGGGCTCCCACTGCTCCCTTCCCCACACCCCCCCTTTTCTGGAAACAGCCTGAGCTGGCAGGGAGGAGGGAGTCTTGCTAGGGGAAACTGGCTGCAGGCTCCCAGCCAGCAGCTTGATTCCTCTCCCCCCTAGAGCCAACAGCGCACTTCTGTTTGTTCCAGGGGATCGTCATAACTCGGAACGCTTCCTGCAAAGCATTCTCAGTTACAGTGGGGAGCCGTGTTTCTGTCTGAACCCTAACATAGTGTTCCCAAGTTGCTTAATTCTCAGGTAAGTATTCTCGCTGAAGTATTGTGAGCATTCAGGACAGCACCATAGACTAAATCTGTGCATTTGCCCAGGGGAAAGAGCTAATCAAGCTTTATAAGAACATTTACGATTTGATGCTCATTGCTTTACGGAGCCTCCACACCCATATGCTCACCACCTTCTCAGGAAGGGAATGATATTTGCATATAAGCCCAGACAAGTAAAAATGCACACTGTGTGTCAATCGTTCAAGGAGTGATACTTTGGGTGTGAGGGTTTTTTTGTTTGTTTGTTTGTAATCTGGAGAAAGATGCTGTTTTTCACATGCCAAAAAAAAAAAAAAAAAAAGTATTTGCACCAGTTGATATCAACTACAAGTCACCTGGAAAGTTCCACGTGTTTGTTCATCCGAGCTTTTAATTCTTCATTCTCCTGCTGAACCTTCTTCAACCTATCCATTAAGGTTGTGTTATTTTCCCCCTTTAATATATGGAGGTAGAACAGTTTATTCAAGTATATTAACTGTATGAATGGCTAATGCATATTAATAAACCTAAAAATCAGACTTTATTATACTATGTATAATGATACCTAGAATGACCTTCAGGAAAAGTAAGTCACATGACTAACTTAGTGCTGTATAGCAGCCAAGCTGCCCGTGTAACCCAAGAGTCTGAGTGGACCATGTTGCCACATGCTTTGATGGGCTGCTCACTAATAAAGGCTGGATCAAGTTTCCACTGCTTGAATTTCTAGGCAGTTCAGCAGATGGCTTACATGTGAGATCACTATGCAATACATAGTCTAGGGGTGACTTGAAAATGACCAAATCAATTATGTTCTCCTTCTATAAACTAGTGCTCCTTCCACTCCCTACTCTCACCCTCCAACACCTACAAATATCAAATCTGCACTAGCAGAAGTCATCTGATATGGTAAGTGTGTAGCTTCTCTAAACATTGCAGAATTTTTTCCTAATCATCAGCTGTAGAATGGGTTCACTTGAATGGATTTCTTACAGTTGACATCTTTAGTCAAAAGAGACACTGTAGACACCAGTCCTTCAAAGACCACAAATACTTGCAAGCTTCTAGAGTTTCCCATGTACACAGTTAGGTATCTGATGGTATATAAGACAACATTTGACTCCTCACAAAAATGCAATGGCTAACTGGGGCCAATGCTCCTCATTATTCAAGCCCCTGCTTTCTGCACTGAAAGGCAAGATTTCAATGCTAGGTTGAGTGTGAAAGCTGTACTCAGGGCCCTGTTTCTGCTTAGGGCCATTATCATGAAAGATTAAACAAAATGCTATCTAAAAAGCAATTTCATGTTAATATGGACAAGAACCGACATGGAGACAGCGTACAAAGAACATAGTAATGATAATTTGGTGATCTGAAGAAATTGGAGTATATGAAAACTGGTCTACAGAGGTTTTTTCAATTCCAGGTGAAAAAGTGCATGTTACCTCATTGTCAAGATAGCTGAATGATGGATACTTGTGCTTCATGCTAATTGGTTATTTCCTTTTCTGTTTTAATAAACTCAGACATGACAATATGAACACCTGCCTGATGGGCACTTCCAAACAATGCAGTTCAGAGCCATGCACAATCCCCCACAGGGCATGTCCAGATGAGCGTGCGTGTGCTTCTTGCAGCCTTTCAAAGCCCTCTGAGCAGCTGCAAGAGGCACATCTGGGAACAAAAAAATTCCCCACACTGCAAATTTGCAGTGGATATCCTCTGCAATATCCATAGGATATCCAGGGGTCAAAAAATGCCTTAGGCAAAAAAAGCAGGGCAGGGCACAGTCCGAGGCATGTGGAGGACCCGAGACAACTGGAGGCTCGGGTCCTCCACAGAGATGATCACAGCCAGAGTGTCTCTATGGCTGGCCCTCACCCCAGTGCTTTGCATGCTGACTGCCCGTGCAGGGCAGGCAGAATGGCAGCCTCAGGGAACTAAACCCAGGATCCATGCAGGTAAGTGGTGGGGGGAGGCTGGAGGAGGGGACCACTGGGGGACCCCTGCCAGCCCCATCCCCCACCTATCATGGGAGCCCCCCCCACACACCAGCTGCTGTCAGGGTCACTCAGGCCTCCTGGCAGACCTTCCCCACACAGCATGGGACAGTGGGGACTGGCCCCAGCTGCTTGGCACCAGCACCGCCACTGCCCCATCGTACGGGTGTGGCACAGGTAAGCAGGGCTCTGCATACTGCGAGGCAGGCTGGGGCCACTCGGAGCGAGCAGTGCCGGGACCCAGGTGACAGCCACGGTGGCCCCAGCCGCCTGACAGTGCACGAAGCTGCACAGCACCCTGCCAACTTAGGCTGGACCTGCATGATGGGGCAGTGGAAGTACAGGTGGCTGGGGCCAGTCCCCACTGCCCTGTGCTATGCAGGGGTGCTCTGCCAGGAGATCCCACTGACCTGGACAGCTGCTACTGCCAGTGAGAGCGTGGAGCTTTTTCATTTGTTTGGGGGTTTTTTAAAAGTGCGAGGAGGCTGGGGCCAGGTGGGGCAGCCATCAGGGGGCCTGGGAGTGCAAACAGGATGCTGGCCCCAGGCTCCTCCCCCTCGTTTCAGCCAGGCAGGGTCATTTTGCCCCAAGTGGCACAACTTGCCCCCACCAAAAATGCATGCATGGGCACGTGTGCTGAAGCAAAAAGCCCTGGCTCAAATTTGCACCACTTCTATTTGAGCTGCTGAAAGCACAAGTGCCTGCATGGTGTGGATGCCCCCACAGGGTTGGGGGGATTTTTTTTGGTTTTTTTTTTCCAAGTTACAAATTATTTGTAAAGATTGAGTATTTGTAAAAAAAATAAATAAATAAAAATACCTAGTACAAATTAATTTATAAATTACATAAAAGTCCAAAAACAAAATAAAAAAGAATTAGCCATTCCCCTATCTTTCTCCTACTTGAATGAAAATGCAACACCAAATGAAGTTCATTTTGTAAGGACTCCTGCAGTTACCAGTTAAACTATCTGGAAAGAGGTAGAGGCGCAAATTTCTTGTTGAATTTGGTATGTGTTCTACCACCATATTTACCTGAAAAAAGATCAGTTTTTTCCCCCTCTGGTTGTTAGGGTGTGGGGGGGGGGCCTAGTCTTATAATAGCATACAGGAGAATCTCACTAAATAAACGGTCTATCTTTAAACTGCTGTGAAACACTTAAACGCAGCTAACACTGAGCATGACTATACAACACATTGCCCATCTTGGGCAAATCAGCCTTTTCTTCTCTAAATGCTTGCAAAAGGATTTCCTTGGGCACATATGCTGATGGGGACTTTTTCTGTAAAAAAATTGTATCAAGTCAAAGCAGTCAAATCAATTCCAAATCCGTGAGTCATTCAAAAACCACGTGTGGTCCTGCTCCCGACAAGCATGCTCCAGTCTCACTTGGAGCTTCAGATGCTTGCAAATCTTTTGGCAGGCAGCCTATGTGCAGGCCCAAGCCCAGAGGCTTGGGATTCAGATCCCTCTACATTTCACTTGCCTTCAGCTGCATGGCCACAGGAGCAAGTAAGAGAGGAAATGATGGGGACGGACAGACGGACGTGGACATGGACGTGGGTGTGTGTGTGTGTGTGTGTGTGTGTGTGTGTGTGTGTGACCCACCTATCTGAACAAGACACGTGGTAGGTGCTGATTAAGCACAGCCTCCCTCATTGCCGACTCTTTTTAAGTCATGGTGAGCCATGACACAGCATACCTAGAATCCCTCTGTTGGCCCCTCTTGCAGTCCCATATGATTACTGTGGCCATGCTGTCCATGAGGTGAAGCCACACCAGGTTGCCTTGTGCCTCATCTACACATAAATCTTTGGAGTTTTCCAGGACTTGTGAAAAGAAAACCACGACTCCAGTCATGAGTGTGGGCTAATTAGCACATTGCCACCCCCAGAACAAAGGATCAATCTGGAGTATACACACATACTGAGCAGTAATGAGCTGTGGGATCACCATGGAGAGCAGGGCCACACTAGTCATATGTGCCAGGCTGAGAGACGGCACAACAGGATTCTGGGTGAACTGTATTCAATGTTGTGGCTCACCATGGCTTTAAACACTGTTAGCTCTAGTGGGGACCAGCCCAGTGAACTATGTGGTAAATCACGAACCTTTTGGCTTTGAGCTAATACCATGCATAGTTTATATTAAGTAAGTATGTGCCCAAGTGTTGCTTAAAATTGTGTTTATGAAACACCTGTGTTAATCTGATTTAGCTTAGTGGGTACACATGGCCATCATGAATTTACTATCAAAATCTAGTATGTTGGGGAAAAAACAGCTGTAAACCTCCTGTCTCCAAAGGAAACTCACCAGTCTTTCCATCTTCATCAATTTTATATCTTGCTGATGTAGTTTCTCATTCTTGATCTCCAACACTGCTTTCAGACTTTCCAGTTCTTGTTCCAGATACATAATCTGAGGATTTTTCTGAAAAGGGGGAAAAATGAGTTCACTTATTTCCCTGAATTCCAGACACATTTTTAATCACATATGTTAAAATAATGTATACAGACAAGGCTTGTAAATAAAGAGTTGTCAGATTGTTGAAGTCTTAAACTATATAGTTTTGATTCAGGAGGAAAAGCTAGCATACTTTCCCTTTGGACTCCTTTTGCCCTTCAGAAGAAAAGTTTTAAGGATGCCTGTCACAATCCTCAGTATGATCTGGGGGTTCATGGCATGTCACAACTGGTTTCTTATGTTTATTTCACTGGTATGGCATGTGTAGTCAGTATATTGCTTTAAGATTTTGATCATGGTTTAGCCAAGTAAAAAGAGAGAAGGCAAAACTGCTAAACATCTCTTGCTATTGTGACGCTAGGGCAAGGACAACAGCTACTCCAAACTGGACAGAAGACTCCACTGGTAGGACGGACACCCAAGTTGTCGGTTTGTGATGGGGAAAAAAATAATAACAATAACCAATAGTAAAAGCATCTGAGAAACGACCCTTTAGCCAGAGAAAATATCAGATGCCCCGGGAACAGAAATTTCGGGAGGACTCTGAGACTTGTCTGAAATTGGAACGATGCTGATGGAGGAGGGAGAGGCCACTGGCTGAGATATTTTTCAGAGGCCATCTGTAAGGTGGCCAGGGTCTTTGAATTTTCTCAGGCTTGGAGAAGTCCAGGTCCCCAGCCGTCAAGGCTGGCAGGATCAGGGAGGCCAATCTCTGAAAATACAGGTAGGCCTTCTGAAGGACTAGGTGATAGATGAGAGGGTAAGAAACTTTAATTGTCTTTTTGTTCCGTCTTCAAACTTAGGTTCAGTTTTTCTTATATAATTATTTTTCCTATATAATAAATCCTTTTGTTGTTTGTCCCCTTAGCGATTGCCTGTGATGAAGAATGATATCTGAGTGATGATAATCCAAGAATACCCATTCTTTGGAAAGGGGAACCTAAAATTTGTTTTACAACCCAGGCAAAACTCTATCAAATGTAGGATAAGCAGTGGGAAAGCAGGGAGAAACTAAGGGAGTCCACAGATGGGTTTACAATAGCTCACTTTAAAATCAATCTTTCAGGAACATTCTCTAGGAAAAAGTTTGCAGCCTAATCCAAGGAAAAGAAGTTTCTAGTCAGAAAATAAATTCATTTTATTTCTATGAGATTAAATATTTTTGGAATGAATTACTATTACTATAAACTTGGTCTGCAATAGCGCTCCTACCTCCACTGTAGGCTGCAAATAATTCCAAAACATTTATTTTCTTAGTCATAAGCACAAAAGGAGATTAGACGAACAAATATTTAACAAAATATTTAAGAGTCACTCAGATGTTAGAGTAATTTAGGTAGGGTAATTTTTTTTTTTTTTGGCATATGCAACTCAAAAGCCACTGAAATTTAGACTTGGAAAAGTTGCGTGTAGTTCATCCTCACTGCTTTCAGTCTGAAAGTAACTCTTTAGAATTTACCAAGTCAGCTTAGTGTCAGCCAGCACTGCCCTGGGGCGCTACCTGTCTATGCATCTGCAAAAAATAACCTTTTAAATATTTTTGTTTAGTTTTGAAAACAAAGCAAATGCATTAAAGCTGAAGATCCATCATGAATATGAGCCATGTTATGAACAGCAGCGTAATTTCCTCAAAGTGAATTAAATCAGTTAGTACATGGAATGCTAATCAGAGATGCAGCACTTGGTTATGTTGTTCATTTAAAAGTTTGTGTTCAAAGTCAAGACTTACAAGATTTGCTTTTTCTTTGGCTATTCGTTTTTGCTCTTCCAATTTCAACTTTTCATTCAGAGAGTCATTGTCCTGTTTCAATTCATCTATTTTTTTCTGGGGGAAAAACAAAAAACCCAAAAAGGTCAAACCAGTAATTGAGTGCTTATATCTTCTATCACGTAGCTCCCGCTTGTTGCAAAAAGACTTGTTTTGAGGCGAACCCCAAACAAACCTCTAATGATTCCTGTTTCTCTCTAAAGGAAGCCTCAAGTGATTTCCTTTCCAGTTCATGGGCATTCTTGAGTTCTGAAACAAGTACCAAATTTGTATAATTTTAGATTATTGCACAAAACCCCCCCATATTTTAGAATATTCATTAGTTCAAAGGATCATAAGTATACATGCAACAATAGTAAGGAAACAGTAAAATTAGTAATGGTTATTACTGCTTGCAAACCAGATGAGCAGTCCATTTGCTTTTTAAGCATTTGTTGATCAATCTTCATATGTCCACACTACATGTAAATTGCCCACTTAAATGTCAGTTTGGAAAGTATTGAACTGTACGCAACATATGCACTGAGTAATCATCTGGCAACCAACCAACCAAACAATAAACATGCATGCTAAATCAGACCAGGACAACACTGCTAGAGACAGCTGTAACTGATTCATCAAATATTTCAGAGATCTCTAAAAGAAGAATTAAATTTCCAACTTTGTAAGAAAGTGGACTTCTTAGGACTTGCTCCTCAGATGTGATGGGTGTTTCACCAGTGATTTCAGTGAAAGCAAAAACTGAGTCAATAGAAAATAGTAAGGATGAACAACTTCAACTAAAACATAGTAAATTAAGATGCGCCACAGTCTTTAGAATCAGCAAGTTGCCTTAAAGGAACAGCTACAGACTGATCAGTCATCTTTCCCCTATCCACCCCCCAGGGGGAGGAACCGAATTCCAGATCTTGGTTCTGAGCTACTACCAGGAAGAAGAGTCAGCCAGAGAAATTCCCATTCTGACCTGGAAGGATCTAAAAGTGTCTTCACTGTATCCAGTTTCAAAGAAAGTTGATTTTGTGTGGTTCCTTAACACCTATCAACAAAACTAGAAGCAGTGATTATGTCACTGAGCTCAAGATTTTGAAAGTAGTCAAGTTGACAGAGACATTTGCTAAAAAAGACAGAGAAAGCATGCTTCTACATCTCTTGGACTGCTTTAAGAGTTCTCAACATAACTACCCATTGTTTAACAGGCTGGCTCTAGACATTAATCCAATCGTGTCATTACCTTCCTTGCACAATGAAGACATAGGCCACAATGTGTGCACGGCTACCTATGCATAGGGCAGGCTGTCAGGAGGAAGAAAAAAGGGGTAACATCTTGCACTGCTGCTGCTGACCAGCAGGGGGAGATCTCTCTGGTTAGCAGTACCACTGAAGGATTTAAATGACTCTACTATTAGAGTCATCACTGAGGACCCCCCCCCAGTCTCCCTATGAAGCAAGTTTGGGGAGGGGAAATCCCCCCCTCAGTTCCCCCCACCGGCACATTAAGCTGGGGACACCCTGCCTGGCCACAGGCAGCCCAGATCTCCTAGGCCAGTATTTCTCAACCAGTAGGACATGAAGGCCATCTAGGTGGGATGTGGAGAAGTGGTGGGCTTGCCACCAGCACTTCCGGGTTTACTTGTAGACCAGCTGCCAGGGGACTCTCCAAGCTCATCTTATCGTGGTGGGACCAGGGGTTTTGGGACCAATGGTTGGTGGGATGAAAGTTGGAAAAGGTTGAGAATCGCTGTCCTAGGCAGCAGCATGCAGAAGGCAGGGAGGGGAAACCCCCAACTTCCCCTTACCAGGGCAGGGAAGGAGACTGCAGTACCCTGCCCAGCCACGAGTGCAGTCTGATGTGCTGGGCCAGGGAGGGCGGAGGAAGCAGGGGCCAGAAATCTCCCCCCTCCCCTGTGTTTGCTGCTGCCCAGGAGACCAGGGATGCACTGTGGCTGGGCAGGGTATCCTGGTTCTGCTCCAGCCAAACAGGGTGTCCCTGGCTTCACACATGGGTGAAGGCAAGTTGGGGGAGATTTCCCTTCTCCCTCCTCCCATGCTTGCTGTTTCCCAGGAGATCCAGATGTGCTGTGGTAGGGCAGGTATCAGCTCATCTGCTCCGTGCTCATACAGTAGGTAGAGAGCAAGGGGGTGTATTCCCCTACAGAGTGCTGCTGAGTAGGGGAAATGAACCTAGTGCTCAGAGTTATGTTGGGGCAGGAGTTTCCTCCTCTTCCCCCCCACACAAAGCAGCTTACACTGGAGATGGAGCAATGCATCCTGGGATGCCAGAGGGCCTGCATGTTGCTCTCATGCAATGTATTCCTTGCTACAGATGAAAATTAAAGCTGGATATCAACCAGCTATAAAAGTGAATACGCATTTTCGAGGTCTAACTTTATATCTGGTTGGAGCTTTGAACAGCATGACAGGTGCTTTGCAAGTGTAGCTGGTCTCAGTTAATTATGCAATTAACTAGTTAATTGCACAATATCTGTAACATGTCAAGGGAGCCCCAGATAGAGGCTTGAACATAAAATAAAACTATTCAGTCCCAAAAGAAGAATGTCAGCTAATGATTAACAATGCTGTTCCTGATTGGTAGGAACAATGAGAGCATATTAAAATGGCACATTTACTTGAAATGTTTATCTGTGTAGCTCATCTACTGCCACTACTTGAGAGAAAAAACACACTTACCTGAAAAAGAGGATTCATATTCCTTCTTCAGCTCTTCTATTTTTTCTGAGTGGCTGGTTTCAAGTTCTAGCTTAAAGTTTTCATGTGTAATGTTTAAATTGTCAACCTGCAATATGAAAGCAAGTTTTTAGGAGGGTTTCTTTATTTTGTTTTTAGTATCTTTCACATGTGCAGAACTGGAATTTTAAATGACAAAGTGAAGGGTAAATTCACATGCAGCAGCCTTTTTACCCAGTAAACAATACAAAGGAAGTTTCTTCAAGTAAAAGCCAAAGTCAGCCAACAACCCACTGATTTGGAATATCCCCAACTCCAGCGCTTTATAAAAGTCAAATGTACTGACTAAACTAAAAATAACCTCACTGTTCACATAACTGCTGAAGTGGCATATAGTGTGGTCTAGAGGTAGCACATAGAAATAAATAGTGTAAGACAGAAGAAAATAAACCATCTGCAGTGCTTTGTAGATTTGAAAAATGCTTAGGACTTGCTGAAAAACAGGTTTCATCACACAGGCTTAAGGCTGGCGAGCTGGAAGGCATCTGAATTCCTTGTTGCCAATTTTTTTTCCTGCTACACCTTTTAAACTACTGTAGATACAAAGCCATCATGAATTTGTAGCAAATTCCTATTAACAAACCATGGGATTTCAGCACCCTCATTTAAGGATCTGAAAAGCATATTTTAGTTTGAAACATTTTATAGTTATGATTAAGTGGAATTTAATCTTAAAGTAACGATTCAACTGGTCCCATTATCAGACAAAAACTGTGATTGATGGGAGACCGACAGAGTAGACAGAAATGAATTTTTTTACACACTTTTTAAAACCTGTATACAACAAATAAGCCAGAAAACCTCTAGCTGGGATGTGAATATCCCTTACACAGAAAGCTTCCACAGCTCTATTCTCCAGGGAACATTTCTAAATCAAATGTCGCTGACTTGCATAGGTGACGGAAGCCTGGGGCTAATGGGGCTTAGCCCCCTCAAACGCAGCTCCACTGCTCCAGCACCACTACCATACCCTGCTGGCCCAGCATCGCACCCAGTGTGCCACTCCACTTTCGCATGTGGGAGGGAGGGGCGGGGATCAGGTGAGCGCGCCACACTCCGCTCCCCACCTTTCCTGCCCCCCCCAATAATATTTTCTTCTGCCACGTATGCTGACCTGCTTTTGAAGTTGTTCTTTATATTTTTCAGCTTCTTCAATGCAGATACTTTGTAATTTCTCACACTCAGCAGTGTAAAACTCTTTAAGCCTTTCCTCCAGCTCCGCTAGATCATTTTGGTGTTGCTGATTTAGCTTTTGCACGAATCCTTCGTAAGCAGCTTGTAACTCATTCCGGTCTTTCTCCAATTTCTCACAAGCTGCAGAAGTGGTTACTGAAAAAGTGGTCAAAAATTGTTAAAGCCTACTATAATTCTGCTACTTCATCTCCAAACACTAAAGACAGCAGTGGACATTCCACATCAGACTAAGATTAGGACACAAACAATATGGTTGTAAAAATTAGTGACACTTTCAGGGCTATTCTACAGGCTGCTCTCCTGAAGAGCTCCTGGAAAATATATTAAAAATTTATAAACAGATTAGAGTAGATAGACAGACATACAGACCGCTCAGTTCTGTAGCGAGATAAAAATAAATCACGTAAAGTAGCAAATCGAGTTAAAGCTTCATTATAGCATTCTTGTCCATGCAGTGAATTTTCTGTATCTTGAACTATCATGTTTGTGGGTTTGGTTTTTTGGGGGTTTTTTTTTTCCTTCCTGTTTTTGCCTTTTTTGTTTAATCAAAAAAAAAATTGGGGCACAGCTCAGAGCCCAGGGACCTCTCTCTCCTGCCTTCTAGGGCAGTGCCCATCTCAGTGAGCCCCACAGCAAAGCCTGTCTCTGACAGGGCTCCCAGTATGTCAGCCATGGCAAGGCAAGTAGAAAGTATTCTAATTTCTGGCTAGCCCTTGGCTTGCTCATTACAGCACTCTACTGGGAAGAGGAAGATGACAGTCCAAACGCCCCTACGGCAGGGGGAGGGATAGAACGGGAAGAAACAAGCCCTAGACCTTAGTCATCCACTCCTGGGCAAGTGCCCATCAAAAAGTCATTTGTGATGGATTCTTGGCCACTGAAATCTTGAGTATTCATATAATTTCCTGAACATTCTCAGGAGAAAAAGCACTGCAATGAAGCAAAGTGGCCAACAAAGCATGCTCAGGAGGACAAATCTAGTCAAAGGCAGAAATTGGATCTAAAAATCTGTGCAAGTGACACTAAACATCATTTGTGTCAGCTCTGGGTGGCTAAATAGCATTGGACACCTGAAATGGAAATAGGGTTTAAGCTGCTTGATACTTACTCCACTGCCTCCCCTCACTGCCTACCCCTCTACCACCTGGCCTCCTAACACCTGCCTCCATGCAGTGGCAAGGGGGGTTACTTTAAGATGACCCTCCAATAATTCGATTCTATACATAGAAAAATATAGAAAATGTATAAATTGTCTATGTATAGAATCGAATTATTGGAGGGTCATCTTAAATTCAGAGTTGTCTTGAAGTCAAGTAAATACAGTAGATTTCTTGCAAAAAAAGCTTTGGGATTTTGTAGGCAAAATTAGTTTTGTGATTAGAATTAGTTCCAAGTACAGATAATGATGCAGCAATGCGTCTTACTGACATGGCCAGCAGGAGGGTTCACTTCTGAGGCCAAGCGAGTGTTTGAAATTAAACATTTAAAAATCTGACAAGACTGCCAAAAGAAAAAGGGCAATATTCAAAGAAATATTTGCTGCAAGTAGTTTACACAACCTACAAACTTATGTACAAAATAAGAGTAAGAACAGTATGTCACTGCACAAGACAATATATTGAAATACATTAAAAGACCAGCTGTGAAAAGAAAAAAGCCAACCAATTCCCTATTTTAACCACTCACTGATGGTAATTTGACCAGCAAAGAGAAAGCCTTTACTCATTCACACTCTTTTGGAGAGGTTTGTTAAACCCAATGTTTGTTTTTCCTTATCAAAATGGTCTTTAAAGTTAGCTTTGAAAGAAACTCCTTCAGATACTAGAGGATGCTTTCCATCAAAGTAAAACCACCTGTGGGGCTTGCGTTTGTTTGGGGTTGTTTTTTGGTTTATTTTTACAAAATTTTCAACCCTTTAATAATAATACACTCATTAGACAGATAGAAGCTTCATAGTTTTCATGTTTCACCATTGACTGCACTGTTCCTCCCTCTCCAATAAAAGCACTTCCCTCCACAGATCCATATTTCAACCATGCTGCCATTACATTTAATGGAAGTTGAACTAAGCAAGGTTACAAATGCAGAGAACAAGTACAAGAGGAGATAAATGGCACAAGAGCCAGAGATGAAAGAAATACTTTCCACTTACCCATTAAGTCACTTCACTTGAGATTGCAGCACTCAAGCACTATTTCAAGCCTTCAAACTATGCTTCTTACTATAAGAAGCACTATATTTAGCAAGTACAAAGTAAATTGACTGCACCTTTCAGACAGTTAGGTCCAATAGCATTTTCTGCCACTTTGCAGCAGCCACCCACCCTGCACTCCTCCCCTCACCGCAATTAGTATGGAGAAAGTATTACAATATTTAGGCTATTTTACACCTTCCCATTGTAAGGGACTCTTGTAATTAACACCTACTCTGTTTGTAGAAGGCCTTTGAAATTTGGCAAAGAAATATCGTTTTTGGTCCCACAAAATTCCTTTCAGGTTTAACAGTCAAATAAAGTGCCATCCCCATCTCACTTATGTTCAACAGAAAGATTTTGGAAGTATGGCAGGATGAAAATTGAGACGGGGCATTCTAGATGAGCAGACCTGCACACCATACACTACATGAGTGATGTTTGGAAGGTTTAAAAACAGGGCTAGGCAGAAGAGCTCAGCCAAACTTCCAGTCCCCATACCATTCTCTCAGACTCGGCATGGGGAACTCAGCAGCTTATGCCTCCCAAGGAAGAATGACATTGTGCGAGGTAGATGACCCCCACTCCACTCCATATCTTTTGTAAGTCAGGATGGGCTGAGCACCCTTCTCCTTCAACCATGCTTTGAATCAAGCACATAGGCACAATCAACTCATCTCCTTGCCTGCTTGCTTCAAGACACTCAAAAGTAATTCAAATGCTTGCTTAGTATCGTCATCTCCAAAAGTGACACGTGACTACTCAGAGGTCCTCTCTTCCCAAGGAAAGACTTGTTAACAAATGAAACAGGAAGCTCAACAACATGGAACTCCTCCTTTGTTTACTATGGACCTTCTCTAAAATTTTGCCAGGAACTACTTCCTTACGGCTTCACCCACACTGGGTATAAAGGCCTGTTGATTTGCCTATTGCCTTGGAAAACTGCTTCTCACCAATGAGTCATGCCCCCCTCCCCCCCCCATGGGATGTTTGAAATTGAAAGTTGTAAAACTTTCTAAAATAAAAAAAAATTCTTCACCTGTTTCTTACATGCTGAAACTTCAAAACCCAAAGCTTCTCACAAGCATTCACATGTTAGAGACTGTTATTATCAGATTTTCTTTTTTTACTCCTGCTTTTATAGTGGATGTAATGATGAGAAAAATTTTACACTGCAATTAAAGGATTGTCAACTAGCAAGTCTGGAGAAACACTGCCTAAGTATGTCAGTTTCAGGCTCCCCATGTAATCTATTAAACCAGCCTTTAGCCTATGGGCCAAATCCAACCCACAGCAGCATGTCATCCAGCCCACAGGGCTCCCCATGTCTCTAGAAATCTGGTGGCAGGGGAATAGTGGCACTCCTCTCCCACTACCAAATCTCCAAATGTGTGGGAAGTCCTGTGCACAAAGTCCGGCACCCAATCCCAGCACATAGAGCTGAGCCCCAGGGCCCAATCCTGGCATGCCAGGGACAGTGCCATGTCCCTAGTACCAAACCCAGTACACAGGGAACAGGAGGGTGTAGTGCCAGGTCCCAAGGGTCCAGTCCTGGCACAGTGGGGCTTGACAGTGCCGCCAGGCCCCAGGGCTCAATCTAGCTCGCAGACAGGCCCCGTGCTTCTCATCTGGCCAGCAGGGCCAAAAGGCTAAACACCATTGTATTAAAGTATTTTCAGGATGTTCTGTCCCCAGATCAGTGTTGCTAACTAGGCTAGAAACAGTCACCTAATGGAGCAATTCAGCTGTAGGTCACTCCTTGTCCTGCCCTTGATGGTATGGGTCAAGGGATGATGTGATCTTTCTGCTT